TGTAGGGTCAAACGACTGCATTAAAGCAGAAATCCATTGCTGAGGAGAGATATCATTCGTCTCCAGCATGACCTTAAACGCATTAAGCTACGGGTTAGCGTGCCAAGGTCATGGTTGTTTATAAACTCGACCTGCTTGCTGTTGGCATCCCAGTTCGACTTAAGTCGACTGATCTGTCCCTTGTACTTCTGGTTATCCCGGTGGTGTTGTCCACGTTGGGCCTGAAGTAGCTGATCGATGCGTTTCTACTTGATCGCGATCATATTAGCAAAATATGATACGTCATCGGCACGGTGCTCATCGTGGGCGATTTCCATCTTAATGGTGTAATCGTCGACCGATTTATTAAGTTCGGTCACCTCGTCTGAGTGAAAATTCTCTGCGGGTTGATGTAAGACGGTGCGATCGAAGCGATTAAATTCGACATCGTTAACACTTTTACGGGAGTGTGTAATACCCCGTGTAAAGTCCATGGTCGAGGCCTTTCGGTGCTCTGTTCCTTGGATAGTCGTTGGTATTATAATCTTGGGTGATTCATGTGTCTGGATGAAATACCCAGTCTTAACTGGTTTCCGACGATTGTCATCCCAGTTGGGTAAAGGTGGCGGAGTGTTTCTACCTGCCTCTGGGTCTATAATACCCTCAAGGACAGGCGACTCATGGCCGGGTGAAAGAACAGGCGAATAAAGTTCCTGTCTGGGTCAACTGCCACAGGTTTGGCGCTCAGGTCCTTACGCTTTTCGGGCGTAATTACCTGTCGACGTTCTGTTCAATTCTGTAGGGCTTCAGTAGTGCCCGGAGAAACATGCTCGCGTAAGTGCTGTGCGTGTTTTCCTGATCCATACATTCGATCTACATGTTCAACAGTCATGCCTTTCATAAGGGCGGCTAACTGATTCTTAAGATCAGTGTTTTCAGTAGTTAACTTACTTATGCGCGTTGGCTCAGTGGTCTCGAACCTAGATTCGGGTTTGCCACTTGAGCTTGCCTCCTCTTCTGGTTCCGGTATAGGTACCTTCTGAGATTCCTCTTTGTCCCCTATAATTGGGGACTTTTCTTTCTGAGTTTCGTCAGAAGAATTGGTTGGGGCGTCATGAGACGTGTCCCTTGTCTCACTTCTTGGCTTCGTAAATGCGAATTTCGAAGTTGAGGCAATAGTTGGCCCTCGGGCTCTATCTGTAGGAGTAGTCTCCTTAATCGAAGTGGCTACATCCTTATCCGAAGCATTGCCCTGACTATTATTGATGGAGACAAGTGCTTCGGCTACGGTGCGGTTAAACGCATGGCAGCAGCGGCGGTTGCTTCTGTGGCAGCGCTAGCGGCTTCTCTCTCCATCTTCTTACGTTCGGCCTTGCGTTTCTTTGCAGACGTATTGTCTTTCTTTGTCATAATCATAACTTATGACTTCAGTCTTATTCTCTTAAGAAATGATGTGCTTAGGAAAAAAAACGTGGTAGTTATCTACCTTTACGTTTAAGTAGTCTAAGTAGTTAATATCTTTGCTAATTTTAAAATGTGTAAGTTTCGGTCTATTAAGGCGATATTAACGCCTTAGAGTAAATAAATGCTTAGGTTAAGTCTAAGCATATCAAAATCCAAAAGTACATAGACGAAATGAGTCTTTTAGTAAAGTTAGGCATGCCTCGTGAAAACAGCAATATTCTGAGAGATTGTGAGGCTGAGACATTGCCTATATATAATCCTCCCAGTATTGTTTTCGCTGAAGGGATTTTATTTAGTGTTTTGTTGTCGCTCTATTAGAAACTATGGTATGTTCTGTTGGGGCGAATCCGAGATACTCATAAAATCCTATCTTTAGAAAAAAAGAAAAGAAAAGAAAAATACTCTTGATGTCCATAGTTATTGTCTTAACCAATAACTTGCCACTTATGAAGAATTACCGACTTAGCCTTCATCAGACTGGCACATCTGGTTGGCTGAACGGAGGATAAACTAAGCAACGCTAACAGTCCTTAGAAAACTATGTTGGGTTGAGCCATCTCGCTACCGAGGTATACAGATATAAATAGATTTGGAAGGTAAATATAGTTCTATTAATAGAACTAGACCACATCCTATATTTGGTATTTTACTCGGGCCTTTTAATGGCCATGTCTAAATATCTGATATGTAAAATGGAAAAGGTATTTAATTAATAGAACCCGTAACAATTTAAGAGTTTACGTACCTTTAAGAGTACGTTTTACGTACTATTAAGAGTACGTTTATATTACAAGATTCTAATGTGGAGGCCCGGCTTTACACATACAGGCGAGTGGCACGCTTTTAATGAACACCTGGGACCCCCACCCGTAAAAGAGGTGACGGACCAGATGCTCGAGGACCACTTAGCTGAGTGTGCGGCGGCTGACTGTACGTCTGTCCGCGCATTTCTGTGCCCCCTCGTCTCGGACACCTACTATGGGTCCAAGATATTTGCCGTCCTCCGCAGAAATCAAGACGTGCATACACGCCAGCTGAGCTTCTTTGATGAAGCTTCGTCGGAAAGGGAACAGTCCGCGTTTAACTCGCTGCACAAGTTCGCCGGCTTTGCCCGACGGCATCATTCCTAGAGGACTCGAACCTCCGCGGCTACTCTAACTCACACGCCGCGGACTACGCCCAATGCGAGCGCCGTGAGCGTGAGCAGTTTAACAAAGGGCGAGACTACGAGCGCCGTAAGGCCCACCCCTCGCGGGACCCATAGTCAACTGCCAAGTCAACACTTTATCCGTCCTGTGCTATGCCGATAATGGCGCGATCCCTAACCTGATATTGAAACAGTTAGTGATAGACGAAGGATTAGAAACTCAGGCAATTAGTCCTGTCTTTATGAAGTCTTTTGGTGGAGCGACTATGGTCCCACCCAATAAACAATGTACATTACCCATTTTGCTTGAAGTTTACGATGAACGCGACCGTAAAACTTATTTTGCCACCCAAGATGTCACTTTCCTCGTGACGGACGATGTCCCCATGGACTGACACATCCTCTTCGGGCTTTTTGCTCAACAGCAGCCTCTTATCCGGACGTGGTGGGCCATTATCAGGGCGCCCGCCTGCCTTCGGCCTAAAAGTGCAACGTCCACCACCAGCGGCCGCCTTCGTGGGTCCCTTAATCCCGAAGCTGGTCAATCAGGTCGCCAAGATGGAGTTCATGAGACGCTGCAGAGACGCCCCTGGCACCCTGGAGCAATATGATTTCCGGGGGCTAGAAGCCCTCGCAGCCAGGCTCCAGAAGACCCCGGTGCAGCTCGCCGCCTTTATGGCCAAATACAACCGCCTTGCTTACGATAAAAAAAAACATAATTTCATCGAGAGCGTGGAAGTTGATATCCGCCTTAAGCCAGGAGCCACCCCCCGTCGCATAGTTTACAAACAGCGCAACCTTAAACTAGTGGCGTGGGAGGCCGAAATATTTGAGCCGACTATAAGCGAGGTCTTATAGAACCTGGCGATTTATTCAGCAAGATACTATCCTCCGCGGTGCTGGCCCGCAAAAACCCGCAGGTCGAACCACAGTCAGCCAAAGACATCCGATACTGTCTTGACTACGCGGTCGCCAACGAAAACTTTGACGTAGACCCCTATCCAATGCATACAGAGAAAGAGTGCTTAGGCCATCTGCGCAGTGCTGACATCCGGTTCTGTGTCGACATGGCGTGCAGCTTCAACCAGATGAAGTACACACAGCGCTCACGTGGCTACCTCACGTGGATTACCTCCGAAGATCAGATCTGGCAGCCTATCACAGGCGTGTTCGGCGCAAAGATGATGACCTTTATCCTGAAACAACTGCTGGATCATTTCTTCCGCGACATGCGAAAGCAGCTCATCCACTTTGTTGATGATGGTGGCATGAGTGACTCAGGCCCGACGCACGATGCTGATCACTGGGTCACCCTCACGCGTTACGCCGATATAGCCTGGCGGCACAACATCCGCCTGCGCCCTTCAAAGACCAGACTGGCAGTCCTCCGCCACATGTCAATTATATACTACGGCCGATTATGTATCGATTGTTATAGCACCATCACAGGGGAGCGTAGCGAGGCCATCCGACACTTAGCCCCGCCAGCAGACCGGGACGCCTTCCAAAGGTTTTGCGCCACCATGAACTGGTGGTCAGCTTACGTCCCTAACCTGGCGGTGCTCCTCTCGCCCCTTACTGACCTCCTGGCCAATGGCCGCAAGTTCAATTTCACGGCGGCCTACCTAGCGTCCTTTCGGGCAGTGATGTCTGCCATCTCGGATACGGGCATGCTCGTGACCCCGAAACCAGAGCACCACCTGCACTATTTCGCGGACGCCTGCCAAATAGGGCTGGGTTCCGCGCTTTTCACTCGCTTACTACGCCCAGGGGGAAACCCGCGGCTTCCCCCCCCCAACTGGAAGCAACCCCACACACAGAAAACAATCGAGGCCTACACCAAGGCGGAGCAAGAGGCTGAACGCCAGTACCTCGCTTCTCTTGGCCCACTCGGATAACCAACTCTCCGAGGCTATAGCCCTTAGCAAGGCTATTACAGAGCGCACCCCAGCACCACCAGACAAGGCACCAACTCCAACCGAGCCTACCCCGTCGCGACCCACCAACGCCCCCAGCCCCCCCCCCCCCCCCCCCAACCAAGAAACGTCATGTCGACCCTTCTGTCTACCTGGCATGTAGAGAGATGCTCCACCGCTTCAATGCTCGGCGCCTCTCCTGCCCTCAGCAGCTATTCCATGACAAGGATGTCACACCTCTCTGCGACCCGCGCCTGCACGGGTACACCATTAACGGAATAGACCGCCTCTGGCCAGTGTTGGAACATATATTTGCTAACGAAGTAAGTTTATTATCTTATTACATATTGGCTATATAGTATAATAATTTCCATGTGCCTTTTTAAGATATTCTTACAATTATTCGGCCAAAATATAAGCCGTAATATACTTTGGGCGTACAGGGTTTTTAGGGTTTGAGTCTTATAAATTCGTCTCAACACTCTCCTGAATTTGGAAGCGAAAGGACAGTGTGTATACATAGTTGTGTATGTGTTGAGTACTCTACTAGGGTAGTGGTAGCAACATGTAGACTTGCTCTCCTCAGACTGCATTAAGGCTAGAAAAACTGTAAAAGGAAGAGAGAAAAAAGGGGAAGGGGGTGGCGGGGCAATGGGCTGGGGCTTCATTGGGCGGTGGCAGCGAATTGGGAAAGTAATAGAAGGTTGGTGGTGGCGTCTGGGGCCGAAAGCGTTGGGGGCGAGCATGAGCTGGGAGGAAAACAGAGAAGAGGGAGGAGTCTAGGTGATGGTCGACCAGTCGGGGGGTTGTGCACGTTGTGTGCGTGTGTGTATAGGTACGTGGATGTAGCGATGTTACGGCTAGTGGGTCTAGCGTAAGTAGGGCTGGTGTCTAGATTGATAGGAGCGCAGATAGAGTAAGGAGGGGTGGTGAATGGATCAAGACAGGGCGGATGGCAGTGATCATCGATCGGGTGGAGCTCTCCTGAAGGTATAGCGATGTTGTAGGTTAGAATGATAGTGTGTTGGTAATGTGTGTACGGTTGTTGTCGGACGCGTGTGCCAGTGCTGCAACAATGGAAGGTTGATCAGGGTCGGGGACGGCGGGGAATGAGTAAGATGTATGTTTAAGAGTGGGCGGGTCGAGGAAGGTTCTTAGTCAAGGTGTCTGCGATGTTATCGGCAGTGTTAATGTATTCGGTAGCGATGACACCTTGGTCTTGGAGGTTACGAATATGGTGAACGAGAATATTGACATGCTTCAACTGCTTAGGGGTGCCCGAGTTAGTGATTACATGTACGGCGGATTGGTTATCGCAGTAGAAATCAGTGGGGACATCGGGGGTAAAGCCAAGCTTAGTTAGGGAGTTGCGGAGCCACTGTATGTGTTTAGCGGCTTCACTGGCAGCAAAGTATTCGGCTTCAGCAGTGCTAGTGCTGACAGTCTTTTGGCGCTTATTTTTCCAAACCACGGATGTGCCACATACGCGAATGACGTAGCCGTTGGTGGAGCGAGCCACATATGCGAATGACGTAGCCGTTGGTGGAGCGAGCCACATATGCGAATGACGTAGCCGTTGGTGGAGCGACGGGTTGTGAGACAGCTGGCGTAGTCGGAATCAGCGTAGGCGTCAGTGGAGAGTAGTTGGGGCGTCTTACTGTACGTGAGGCCATGCGTGGGGTTGGTTCGTAGATAGCGGAGGACGCGACACGCAGCGAGCCAGTGATCTTCGCTAGGGTTGGAAAGGAAGCGCGAGAGATTGTTGATGGCTAAGGTGATATCGATGCGCGTTAGGATAGAGAGGTAGAGGAGGGTGCCGACAAGTTCGCGGTATGGGTAGTCAAAGGGAGGGCCGTCGTGTTCAACGAGAGGGGTGATCGGAAGGGGGGAGTTGACCGGATGAGCGGAATCAATGTCGAAGTGTTCGACGGCCTCATTTATGTACAAGGTTTGGACGATGCTGGTGGAATCAGTGTTTGTGATGATGCAACAGCCAAGGAGCCAGGTGGGTTCGCCGAGGACGGATCAGTCGAATTCCGAAAGAAGTTGCGTTTTGAAGTGTTCAACATCGGCTCGAGTGAAACCACTGATGGTGATATCGTCAACGTAGATAAAAAGGTGCAGCTGTATGAGGGTGGCGGATGGTAAACATGCAGCGGTCTGTATGTGCCTGGTGGAAGCCGAATTGAAGGAGCTTAGACTGTATAAGGTAGAACCAAAGCTTTCCGGATTGTTTGAGACCGTATAGCAATTTCTTGAGCTCAATGGTGTTGGCCGTAGAGATGCCTATTTGGTCGGAGCCGGCGGGCGGTTTCATAAAGATAGGATGGTCAAGGTCAGCGTGAAGGAATGCGGTGTTGACGTCCATCTGCTCGGTGTGCCAGCCCTTGTTGGCAGCGACAGCATGGAGTGTGCGGAGGGATTCATGGGTGCAGGTGGGTGCATATGAAGTTGATATCTTTGGTTTGCGTGAAGCCACGGGCAACGAGACGAGCTTTATACTCGTCGATAATTCCATTGATCATCTTGATTTTGAAGACCCATTTAGACGTCACAGTGAGGACGTCAGCAGGAAGGTCGGCCGTGTCGTGGAGGATGAAAGTGTGAAAGTGCCAGTCTTGCGAAGGCTGTTCATCTCGGACTTGATGGCTGCTCGCCAGAGATCGGCTTCCGGGCTGTTGAGGGCCTGTTTGATAAAGATAGGGGTGATGGGTTGATTCTGCACAGCCTCACATAGAGCGTGAACGCGAGAGCGAACGGTATCGTATTTACGTTAGTCCGACAGTTACTTGCGGGTAAGGCGAAGACGGTATTTGTCAGGGTCCGGAGATCAGAGATGTGGGTGGTGTCGAGGGAGTCGTCGAGAAGAAGGTTTCGGAGCTCGCAATTTCGGGGACGGTTGGCGATGTGTAGCTGTAGCTTGTCGTTGCAAGAGCCGAGGATACGGTCTTGGTCCTGGCGAGCAGTAGAGGCTTGCAGAAGCTTAGCCTGTTGCTGATTTTAAAAGTCGGCGGTAGTGGCGCGAGCTTTGAGGGCACGGCGGTCGTCAGAGGATTGGGTGCGAGGGTAGGCAACACGGTCACGAGCGATGCGGAGCAGGGTCTGAAGGTCTTGAGGGGGATTATTAGTTGCGGGGTGGTTGGGAGGGTCACATGGCTGGGGTGATTCGACAACGTAGCATGGCGAAGAGTCCTGAGTGTTGGGGACGTCGCATGGTGGAGAAGCCGGAGTGTCACAGGTTTTGGACGGTGACAGGGAGATGATGGTGGTAAGTGAGGTAACGACGACAGGCATGGTATCGCGATATATGTCAATGACGGAGAGCTGTTCCGGCGTAAAATATGGCTTAGATTCGGTGCCGACGTTGTGCCACAAGAGAAAGATGCCCTCATTGAATTAGACATGTCGGGAGGTCATGGTGTACCCAGTGTCCACGTTAAGCATCGATATTTGTCGGCGTGCGTAGGGAAGGGGTCATGTGTGATGAGGATGCCGACACGGCATTTGAGACGGAGCTTGTCTGTTTTGCCGTGATCATAGCTAAGGGTCATGCAACCGTATACGCGGGGGGCCTTGACGAAGGCAGTAGCGAGGCGATTAAAGAAGCCTTCGTAAGGGTTGAGTCCCTTGGGGTTGGAAGCACGGGGAGAGATGTTGCGGATGTGGGACGCATGGGATTTGACCTCAGCCCACATGTGAGACGGTTGGAGAGCCTGGGCGACCATACAAAGTGCAATGTTTATGTTGGTCTGTTGCACGCGTTCGACACCATCGTGTTTGGCGGAATCACCGGTGGGGTTGTAAAGTATCTGCACATGGGCGCGATGATTGACGCGTTTGAATTCGGTGGCTCGGTGGCAACAAATTTGCCACCACGGTCGGCAATGATGGTGCGAAGGCGATCGCGACCCTGTACTTTGATGTATGTGTAGAAATGGTCTA